CCGGCAGCACCGGCTCTGCCCCTCCCCGCCCCCCCACAAGTGTTTTTTGTTCTCCAGCGTCGCTGTTGAGTGAAATCTCGGCTAAACGGACTCGGCCCGGGGAGAGGAGGCAGCTCTGAGATGGTTACACAGTGTGAGTGACCCGAGGAGGAGTTGGGCCCTTGTTTCCAGGTGTCTCTGCCTCTCAGGGCTCTATTTACATACATTACAGCCATTTCAGATATATTTTTTTTTCCTCTGAAGCCCAATTAGACAAATATCTACCCATATATAATATAAAAAATACAAGATATTTGAATTTTTTAAGTAAAATGTACAGGATCCAACTGTGAGCAGGGGGGTTAAGCCTGAAAACTCAGGCCCTGTTGCTACTGAAGTTCACACCAAACAAACACTGTCAAGTGGAGCTACAGCCTCTCCCTCTAATCCCTAAAAACAATCCACCCCAAACCAAGCCAGGAGAAAAAAAAACCAACACAAAAAAACCCCAAAAAACCCCACAAACAACCTTATAACTCCAAACATGTTCTCATGGAACATAAAAAGAATCATATCATTCAAGTAAAGATGAAGATGGGTTTTACCATTTCAACAGCTCTGGGACTTCAGTCAGTAGCAATGCCAAAAAGAAAAGCCTGTGCAACAGCAGCTGTGCTTCCTGCTTCCAAAAACCACCCAAACATCCTGCCCTCTTCATATAGTTTCCATCTCTGGGGGCTTTTTTTCCTTGTAAATACCACTAGAACTGCTTCAAAAAATAACCACCCCAAAAAATCTAAACAAAGGAGTCTTCCTCTCCCCCCCCCCCCCCCCCCCCAGCCCACCCCTAGAAAAATCTTCCCAGGAGTGGGAAAACTTCCCATTTCTGTCCATTTGTAATATAATTTCAGGGGAACTTGGCCCAGGTTCAACAGGACTGTCCACTGAAGGAGGGGAGCAGAAAGGCCAGGGCTAAACTTTGCTCTTGGCAAATTAGAGTCTTTAATAAAGAGTAACAATGTGCAAAAAAAAAAAAAAAAAAAATTTAAATAGATCAACCAACCCAGGTTTCCAGAATTCTTGCTGTCACAGAATGTTTGCTTTCTTATTTCTGCTCTTACCCAACCCAATGCTGAAATCTCAAGGAAGTACCCGAGGTAAGAAGTGACATTTGGGAGAGATCACCACAAAGCAAAACCAAACCCAAGAGGTGCATCAGTGACCTCAGTGTCCTCCTTCCTCCACCCAGGTGCCTGCTTTCAAGACATGGATGCAGCAGCAAAAAAGAAGTGTAAGACTCTTCCCCCCTTCTCTCCTGGAGGACAAAAGCAGTTTCTAGTTGTTTGAAGGAAGAATTGTGTCCTAACAGGTGGAGAGGGTGCTCAGCCTTCCCTGTGCAAGGAGGGGATGGGACAATCAGCTGCTCCCAGTTGCTTTCCAACAAGTTGGTGGTTTCTTGTTTGGTTTTTTTCCCCCTCCCTCAGGCACATTATAGCTGGAAACCTTCCATGGGGGCTTCAGGTTGCTGGAAGATGAATTGCTGCTGGTTCTCATCTACCTGGGGAGCTAGAGCAGAGTCATCTTCTACCCCAAAGTAGTGCTCGATCAGGTCAAAGGCCTTCTGGTAGATCTCCTGGTTCTCATGGCTCTGCAGGAACTCAATCTTATCCAAACCTTCAGGGAAAAAGAAGTGAAACACACTGAAACCAGATGATCCTGATATTTACACCACCCCACATCCACCCTCCAAGCCTTGTCCCTCTTCCCTGCAAGACCTTTATCTGTTAGATTTGCACTTCGTGAGCAGCTCTGTTATATCAAACAAATCATTCCAGAGTCAGTTGTGCATTTATCTGGAATCATTAATGTCTTTTCCACAGCAGATCCAGCTGCCACAGCCAAAGTAGATGTGCTCCCAGCTGGGGAATAAACCAGATTTTCAGTGAAATTAAACCAACTGGTTGTGAAGAAGTTTTGGTAGTTGCAGGGAAGGGAAGGAAGCTGGGCCTGTCCCAGTAACCTCCAGCAAAAGGGCAGCAACAGCTTTAGCTGCCCTAATTAAATCTCTTGCTGAAGGGAAAGCATCCAAGCACAACCAACTCAAGAATTATTCTTCCTGGGAGAATCAGGACACACTGAGAGGGCAAATCAGACACTGGCAGGATACAGGGAGTTTCAGACCCAAAATAGAAACTGCTCCTCAAAGCATCAAGAGCAGGACACACAAAAAAAATCCACACACAAAATTAACTCTCTCCAGGGAAAAGCTGAGTCCCCCTGGGTTTGATCCACCTGCAGTGCACAACTGGGTCCAGCCAGAGCAACCTCAGCCCCTGAAGTGTCACTTTTCACTTGGCTCAGCTTAATTCCCTCCACTGGTGCCAGCCACAGGGATCAGCTTGGCCTCCAGGTCTAGGAAGGTCAGATCAGATGCAGAATCATCTTCACTTCCCAGTATTTTGTCCGATGCCCAATCAAAGAGTATAAAAAGACTATTGAACCAATACTGTTTGGTTTGCAATGCACTAAGCCCCTTAACTCAGCAGAAAAGCAATGACCAGAACTAGCAGAGACCTTGCACTCCAGCCATGGTGTCAAGGTCAAGAGCAGCAAGGCCACCAGCCCCAACCTACCATAGGCCTCCTCGATCAGGCTGCAGTAGGGGTTGATGCCAGTCCCACTCTGGTTGGCCTCCTGCTCCCCAAGCCTCAGGATGTTCTCCAGGCCATTCAAGGCCACCTGAACTATCTTGGAGTCCATGACAGTCAGCAGGTCACAGAGAGGCTTGATACACCCCAGGTTTACCAGGTATCTGGGAAGGAGAGCAACAACAACACACAGTTGTGATTGAGGATCCAACAGGCATCACCTTTGCTCAGAAAGAGCAAGGGAAATGAGTCAAACACATGAATTTACCTTAAAAATACATTTACTGTTCTGCAAGGTTAACTTTTATCCACTTATTTGCATTTCCAGCACCTGATAGGGCTCCAGGAAAGCTGGGGAGGGACTTTTGACAAGGGCAGGGAGGGAGAGGACAAGGGGGGATGGATTAAAACTGGAAGAGGGAGATTAAGGTTGGACATGAGGAGGAAATTCCTGGGTGTGAGGGTGGTGAGAGCCTGGCCCAGGTTGCCCAGGGAAGCTGTGGCTGCCCCATCCCTGGCAGTGTTGAAGGGCAGGTTGGATGGGGCTTGGAGCAGCCTGGGCTGGTGGGAGGGGTCCCTGCCTGTACAGGGGATTGGAACTGGATTATCTTTAAGGTCCCTTCCAACCCAAACCACTCCATGATTCTATGACTTCCATACACACCCCCCCACTTTAAAAAACCCACTTGAAAATACTGGTCCTACTCAAATCAAATCCACACCAGAATTTAAAC